GGCTCTGCTAAGAGAATTCTGGGTATTGACATTACAAGGAATAGATCCCATAGAAGCATGTTTCTATCTCAGGGTGATTATTTGACCAAAATCTTGGATAGGTTTAACATGAATGATTCTAAATCAACCCCCTTACCCTTAGGAGGGCACTTAGAACTCTCTAGAGATCCCTATCCTATGCCTTTAGAAGAATCTGAGAAAATGGCTAGAATCCCTTTTGATGTTGCTTCTGGTTCTCTTATGTATGCTATGCTTTGCACTAGGCCTGATCTTGCTTTTGCTGTTAGCATACTTAGCAGATTTATGTCTGATCCTAGGACAAAACATTGGACTGCTATGAAATATATACTCTTAGATATTTGTCTGGTACTAGAAACCTAGGTCTGAAGTACTCTAGTGCTGATTCATGTGATCTGAAAGGTTTTGTTGATTCTGATTATGCTGGATGTAAAGACTCAAGAAAGTCTACTACTTTTTGGTTCTTTACTTGGGCTGGAAACTGTATATCTTGGAAATCTCAATTGCAATCTATAGTAGCTTTGTCTACTACAGAGGCTGAATATATTGCAGCTACTGAGGCTATCAAAGAGGCAAAATGGCTAAAAGGTTTAGTGAGTGAAGTGTTAGGGACAAATGTTGTTCCTACTGTCTTCTCTGATAGCCAAAGTGCTATATATCTGTGCAAAGACCCTATGTATCATGAAAAAACTAAACACATTGATGTTAGATTTCATTACATTAGGGATGAGATTTCTAAAGGTAATGTTAAAATTGATAAGATTACTGGAGATGTTAATCCTGCTGACTTTGGCACTAAAATTGTTCCTACTGCTAAGTTTTTGTTTTGCAGGCAGTTCTTCAAGATCTTTGAAGTACCTTGATCGTGAGGGTACTTGTTTGGGTTGATGATGAAAGGTGTTAACTGGTCCAAAGAATCCTAATACTGGCAATGATGAAAGTATGCTCTAATGAGCTGTGCTGCACCGGAATTAGTCTTAGGAGGGCAAATTGTTGTATTTGTAATCCTAATTCTAGTTATTTTCAACATGATGTTTAGTACATAGATAGGAAGGTAAAGCAAGGTTAGGGAATTAATTAGGTCTGGCCCGTTTCAGTTCATTCCATTGGTTTGGGCCTGATTATTTCCTTGGTCCAGTTCGGTTTTCCATTATTGACCCAGCTCACTTGATACGCCTATAAAGGCGTCTCTTTGACCTTTCTGGAATGGTTCGATGCGTGATTCTTCAAACCCTAAATCTGAGAGGCTATTCCTTTGAGAGCTTGAGCGTTGATTGTGCGAGAAACCTCTGGTTCTCATTTCCTGATCTGAAACCACTTGATGCCAAAATAAGCTGAGGAAGGCAAGGAGTACATCGTGTGAAGAAGCCTAGATCCAGAGCAGTTGATTCGACTCCAAGAATCTGACAACTCCTGGGTTTTTTGTTGGTTTCGTCCGGTTATTTCTATTCCTTCTCTTATTTTATTAGTGCGCTTGTGTTTGGCTGATTCTTGTGTGTTAGATCTGTTAGTTTCGTGCTTTGCTTTGCAACCATCTGTGTATTCAAACTGTTCTGAGCTAGTGGATTCTTGGGACCGGGTTTCCCTTGTTGAAACCCCGCAGATTAGGATTTTTAATCCGAACTGCGTCAACATATCGTGTGTTCTTTTATTTTTCGTTGAATTAAGATTGAATCCGATATTTTGACTGTGACTATTGTGATAGTCTGAGAACATTTAAAATGAGAGAAATTTACCAATATTTTCAAATATTTAATTTTAATACATTAATAAATGTAATGTAATCAAGGTGGAATGTCTAAATAGAACAAAATCATCAATGTTAGAAGTAAAAGAGGATGGATGTAGTATATGAATCTCCGCTAAGAGTAAAAAATGACTCTTTTTAACTACGGGTATCAGCTACCCCATGGAAGTTCCAATATTTATTTCGTTTAGTTTAAAAGTATACTTGTATAAAATTATAAGCTGCTCGTATTGATTACTTTGAGTATTGAGTTCTCGAAATAGAACTAAAACAGTTTGAAAATTTTAAAATAGGACTGTCATGCTTGAAATTTGGTACTGCCAAAACATGACAGTAATTAGTCCTATTTTGGGAATAAAAACATGACAGTTCTATTTTGGAATTTTCAAACCTTTTTAGTCTTATTTCAGGTAATATTAGCTTGAGTATTACCTTTATTTCATTTGAAAAGGCTGTGGAAATCGATGCTAATCGCTGCATTTATTACATATCGTAAACGGGCATCAATGAGCAAATGAGCAATACTGATTACCACCATTACATATAGGATTGAACTAGGCAACTGGGAAATTGATTTGATTTAACAATTGCACAAAATAGAAGTAAAATATTATCAAAATATGATTTGTTTAGTCATATTAAAAGAATAAAATAATCCCAAATTGGCCAAATAGGAGTGTTACATTGCCTTTTACTGAATTTCTTTCTTAATTTACTCGTAATTAGGATTGTGTATAAATTTGCTCAATCTCGTGACCCAGTGTAAAGACTTTTACTCGATCCCTGTACTAACACAAGTTTCAAATAAGAGGAAGTGGAGACGACCGAGACCTTCATCCGAGTGTTTGCCAAAAATGCAAGTTAATGATGAATTAAAGTACACCATATTGCAAAAGTAAATTTCATAGATGTAGGTTACCAAATCATTCTTATATGAATAAGCAAACTTATTACATGAGATTATGATGGGTTATTTGATAGGGATGTGTGAGCCAGAGCCATACCATCCATGAGTTCCACATGGTACGGGTCCTATTTATATGTGTTCTGGACATGTAAATGTTAGGAAGGGATTGTGATTACAATAATGCTTGATGTACCCACTTTTATACTCACCTTATACCCACCATATTTGTGGAAGTTTTTTTTGTCTGTGAACCCGGGTTCACAGACAATATTTTGTCTGTGCAAAATATTGTCTGTGAGCCGGGGTTCACAGACAAAAAAAACACTTCACAAACATATGTGTGTACAAAAGTGGGTATAAGAGTGGGTACAAAGATCATTTTTGTTGTGATTAATGTAGTGTTTGACTGTTTAGAGAGGGACACTCGTATATTAGCCCATGAAAGAAGTGGCCGGCACATGTGCAATTTTGTAGCCTCCAAAATCGATTGAGTAGGGGTGGGTCGGAAAAACCGAAAACCGACAACCGAAAACCGAATCGAAAAAAACCGAACCGCAACCAAAACAACCGAACCGCAAGAAAACCGAAACCGAACTCAAAAAAACGAACCGAACCGTAGTTGTTTGGTTTGGTTTTCACATCTCAAAACCGAACCGAACCGAATAAACCGAACTTTTTAAAACTAGTTATTTTATTTATTACTCATTAAGTATATTATGTTGTTTAGTTCTTAATTCTAGAATATTAATGTTTGATATTAGATTTATTATGATTTACATGATATTGAAATTTAATATTTATGATTTAATAAAGTGAAACACTTGTATATACACTTAAGTCTATTGCTATAATACTAATATGTTGATATTTTAAATCGTAATTTACATTTTGCTTGTTGTTGCATGACAATGATATTTTATTGATATATTATATGTAATGTATATATATGTTCATTATATATGTTCATTATCACAAAGTTTTTGCTAATATAGCAATACTAATATATTGCTATATTTACTAATATGTTCATTATCACAAAGTTTTTATATTGAACAAATATGTATTAATATAAACTACGGAGTATACTTTAAACAACATAGCAAAAAACGTGAAACTTTAGAGCATAGATATCTTTGTCTAAAAAGAAAGTAGAATAAGTTATTCACTAATAAATTTTAACTTGCAAATACATTGTATATAATTCACAAATAAACTCACTCATTTAATTAAGGCAAAATGGAAACTAATAATCCAACCTTTTAGCGGTCTTCTTTTAATAGTCTCACTTTTTCGTTATTCATGAATAATCCAACCTTTGCACCTCATCTTCATTCACTGGTCCCCGACTGGTTGATGACCTGTTATTCCAAGTTATTTTCTTATCTTTGCAAAATATTATCTTTGTGAAAGGTGGAATTTATGATATAATAGTTTGCAAAGATAAGAAAATAACTCGGAATAGCAGGTCATCAACCGGTCGGGGACCAATGAATGAAGATGAAGTGCAAAGGTTGGATTATTCATGAATAACGAAAAGGTCGGACTATTAAAAGAAGACCGCTAAAAGGTTGGATTATTAATTTCCATTTTTCCTTTAATTAATTTAGAAAATATTTAAATTAGTATACACGTACTCTCTAATTCATTGAATTGCTTGGAAGTACATTTGTTTCTTCTCTTTTTGTTTAATTATGTATGAAGTATGTTTTTGTATTGTATAACTATTAATACTAGTTTCATATATAGTTTTTTTTTTGTTTTCCAATTACTATTTTTCTAATCAACAAAAATATTTTGGAAAAAACCGAAAAAACCGAAACCGAACCGAACAAATCGTGGTTCCAAATTTTTGAACATAAAACCGAACCGAACCGAACTTTTTAATTTAGTTCGACATTTGGTTTTAGGTGAAAACCGAACCGTTTGAACCGAACTCACCCCTACGATTGAGGGGGTGTAGTTGCTTGGAACTAAAATTTCTGGTGTAATGTGGTCTCTATGTGATGGAGTATATGGTTCAAGACCCCGTCTCCGCACTCTCTAAAGCGAGAAGCTTTGGTGAAAAGGAGTAGTCCAAATGCTCTCTGTACCATGGTTATCGTTCTTGATACATTGCTCGATTAACAAAGGATTTCCACTTTTACTTGCAATGAGGTTATGCCTTGCTAAAACATATTAGCTCAGGTCAAACCTGACAAAATCAAACAAATTAAGTCAAAATTATGTTTATATTTATATTTATATTTATATTTATATTTATATTTGTATTTATATTTATATTTATATTTATATTTATATTTATATTTATATTTATATTTATATTTAAATACTTTTCCCTCAATTCAATCAGCCATCGGCCATACTCGTTTTCATCAGAACAGAAGATCCAATGGCTTCCTCTCTGATGGCTTCTCAAGCCACAATTCTCCAAACTCCTCTGTATTGTTATCACCGTCGCAATCTCTGCCCGATCGTTCTTTCTTCTCAAAACCACCTTCCACGCCCTCGAATTTCCACTCTCGCAACCAGAGTTTCCTTCAAACTTCCTAGGGTTTCCGCCTCTTCGCGTATTCTCTGCAAAGCATCCCCTACCGCCGAGTCGCCACTCACAGGGTCAACCCGCTCAGCCGTGACACTTCTCGCGCTCGCAATCGCAGTCTCGAAAGTCGTAGCCCACAACCTTGGTTTGCATCTGAACGGATGCCGGTGGGGGGCTCCGGTATGTTCTGCAGGGACCGCGTTTTTCGCCGCCGCAAAAAGCTCCACTGTTGCTGTGAACACGCCGCTCACGGTGATCGCTGCTGGGATGGGTAAATGGCTTGATATATACAGTGGTGTTTTGATGATTAGGGTTTTGCTCAGTTGGTTCCCGAATATACCATGGGAAAAACAGCCACTGTCCGCTATCAGAGATCTTTGTGATCCCTATTTGAATCTCTTCAGGAATATAATCCCCCCTATTTTTGATACTCTGGATGTTAGTCCTCTTCTTGCTTTTGCAGTGTTGGGTACACTTGGTTCCATCCTATCAGGTACCAAAGTTTTCTGAAGCAAAATGATGAAGAAACATAAACTGTGCTTGAAACCTATAGACTGTAAAAGTTGTTGTAGTGCCCTTAAACTTTATTGTTGAATTCTGCAGTTTTTTGGACATTTTGTAATGTTTCTTAGCAAGTAGCATCCAGAATGGTTACTTTTGTGTTCAATTGATTTATTTTTGGCACTGGCAGTTTGTAGCTGCAAATGTTAAGAAAATGCTGCATATATATTACCCAGATATCAATTGGAAAAGTATTGTGTACATAACTATAGCATTTCTTGATAATTATCACTACATAGTCACCTTAGTGACTAAAGGCTCGTTCATTAAGGGTATACTCTGCAGAAATGGCTGAATGCTATTGTTATTTTATTCAAGACAAGTGTGGTAATGATGCAGCCATTACTTCACTAAATAAATAAAAAGCTACCTTTTTTGATGATATAGAACTACTTATGGTAGGGTAAGGGGATCGAATGTACATAGTCTTACCCCTGTACTAAAGCTTGGATAGACTGTTTCCGGATAAACCAAAGTGAAAATTGCGTCCAAAATTGCATGAATTGACAGGTGCTTCATAATAAAGAAGCGCACACAGTTTAGTGAACCATTTTGCTTTATCTCATCATATTCTCAAACCAAAAATAGTGAATCTTTGACTGATGATGGAAATATATAGAACTAGCTATCAGACAGAATTTAAGATTTCTCTTTATAATCAATTCAATGGTGCTCTCATGCTATATGAGAAGACAGTGCCTTTGTTCACTACATTGTTTGTAATTACACAATGTAATGATAACTGAACTATGCCCAAAAAAGGCATTGTCTATGGTGTTGGGAGTGTGGTGTATGCAATATTGCAGTGAGGCATACACATATTGCATACCTAGTAAGTAAGTTGTTTGGAGACGTATGCACTAGGAGGTCAGGGTGTAAGGGATTATTTGTACACTTAATGTGTTCTATAGTTGTGGTGGGACCCTTCCCCGGACCCTCGCTTTGAAGGGATGCCTCCGTGCTCCGAGCTGCCCTTTAATGTGTTTTCCAGATATCACCTCTGTTTCTAACTTGATTCAATTCATCAGTCATTAAACTAATAAAGTAAAATTTATACTACGTATTATGCCAGACATCCTAGCATTTATGGCCTCATTATACTTTATTTTAGTATGCCTTTTGATGATTAAGTTGTTTAACTTTTATGGTGTTTGTATATATAAACATATATTTTATGCCTCAGTGGCTTGTTCCTGAATGATGTTTAGACAATATGCAATTTAAAAACATCACTAGGGTCTAGGGGTGGGCACGGTCCGGGACGGTCCGGGATTTGACTTATCCCGATCCCGTCCTGGTTTTATAATAATGGTCCGGTACGGTACGGGATAAGTCTTTATCCCAATGTTGTCCCATTTAAAACGGGACCGGGACAACCCGAGAAAAATCGGGACGGTTCGGGATGTCCCATAAAAAATATGCATTTGTGAAATGTGATATAGAAATAAGCATAACACAAAAAAAAAGACGTAACTATTTTTGCAAATTTAGCTTCATTCCCTAAAAAGTTAAGTAAAACCTTTAATTAACTATTTTTAATTTTTGCCTTGTAAAGTTTTTTGGTCCCCCTAATCTTGTATTTCCTCTAGTAGAATAGTAGTTCAAAATATTTTTATACTTTGTAGTACACTTGTAATTTTTCAATACCACATTAAATTAAATATCATATCTATAAAGACACTATATATTTTTTAGTAGTTATTTTGGAATATAATAAATATATAACAACACTATAATTTGGAGTAGTAGTTATTCCATCATGAATAATAATCCGCACGTAATAATATATTATGGATTAGTATTGGAATGAGAAATAAACAAATTTTAATTAAAAGAAACAAAAGAAACGAGACTAACATAGACATGAAATAAGATAAAATTACACTAGGGACTAGGGAGACTAAGGAGTAAGGACTAGAAAATTTTAATTGGGTTTGGCTGTTACATAGCATTAGAAATTTAAAATAACATATTAATTTCAAACGGGACACCGGGACAGGACATGATATTTTATAGCTATCCCGGTCCCGTCCCGGTTGATATCGGTGCGCGACCGGTTCAGGATGAAATAATTGCGTCCTAAATGGATCGGGATAGTTTTGGAACGGTATCAGGATTTTTCGGTTTGGGACACCGGGACCGGGATTTTTGCCCACCCCTAAACATCACGATTACTCAATATGCAATATCAATCCTTGGTTCACTTCTGTTTACCCTTCCATGGAAATTTTTGCAAGCACTACACAGGAATTACAAATATATAATGACCAAAATGGTGCTTACTATTTTCATCTTTATCTTCCCTAGTACGGAGTACATTTTTGGTACAGTACTAAAAGCCTACAGACTGATAAAGTTAACAAAATGAGTTTTGGGTAAGATTCACCATCACATCCCATACATAATTACATACAATACACGATGAGGGGGCATATGAGCAAGAACCAAAACTTTGAACATACTTAACAGTTTACACTAACTTCTTTCATAGTAAGAAAAGATTGTAGGTTGTTTTCCACTGGCAATTGTGGCTTTCTTTTTTGGTCTCCCAACACTAGTTGACTTGCTATCATCATCCAAAAGCTCTTCTTGCAGTCTCTTGGGTTTAATAGCCATGCTATCATGCTCCCAGAGAGTAACATTAGAAACCTCAGGTTTATTGTCATCACCATCATCACTTTTGTTCATCAAAATCTTTTCAGACTCCTTTGGGGGCTCTTTGGGTGTCACTTCGCTCTTCGTGCCTTTCTCTCCCATTTTTGAGAAAAACTGTGAAATCGATTTGGTCTCTTCTGCCTTGAGTTGTATCTGCAATTTACTATGTCAACATGAGAGAGAGAGAGAGTGTGAGGGAGGGGGGGGGGGGGGAGAGTATGATAGAGAATATACTATCCACCCACTTGCACGTGTATCAGAGTACCTCTACAATGCATTCAGGTCCATCAAATGAAGACTTTCCCATTGCAGGTGTTACGGGGTACCAAACCTGCACACAAAATTAGCAACTTTAACAAGGTGGGAATTAAATTTATTTTAAGTTTTTAACATATGTTCGTTCACTGTTGAACTAATATCTAGCATAGGACTATAGGAGCTCATGAACGGGTGTGATTCATTGTTCAGAGTTCTTACCAAATCTGAGTCTTCATATGGTTTTAGTAGAGCTTCAACATTTAATGACGGAGAACCATTCAACCATAAGTCAGATGTCTCATTGTTGCCAAATATCACAGGCATCCTGTCTACAATATATTTAGGTTAACATGGAAAATCGTGGCAGTTATTAATTTAAAATACTAAATGTGTATTCACCTCACAAAAAGAAAAGAAAATGAATAAATACTAGTATTAATTTTTGTCCTGTGTTTTTTTCTCAATGACTTATGGTCCTCATATTCAAGATTATTACAATGGCTTCTTCTTCTATAAATAGCCCTCCCAAAGTTCCAAGAATACTTTCGACCAAACAGACAAAGAAATATGCTCTGAAGGACAACAGGTGATAAAATTCGTGCATCAACAGATTAATTTTTTCAAGTCAGGAACAAAGTGAGAAGCACCAAAGTTGTGGGATCAAAACCAAAGCAAAAATCAACACGGGAGCCTTTTAAGGGTGTAATGATTAATCGTGCAGGTTTGGAGCTCCTAATAGATATAGCTTTGCGTATCTAAATAAGAACGTGCCATTATACCAAGTTACCAACTATGAAGTGAAGAACAACTTGGAAAAATGCATTCCTTGACAACAATAGTGAGAAGTATGGAGATGCACTAACTAACCATGGAGCCATCGCAAAGATGATGAGGACGAAGTAGTCACAATAGTGAATGTATTAATAACTTCTCCTGCATGAAAGACAGAAAAATAGCTTACATAGTAATGATAGTATACAGAAAAGTTAAGGTTTCGCTCAACACCAGAAGAGGGCATAAATGGATGCCCATAAAAACACATTACCTAAGAAACCAAGATTTGAAATACACTACTATCAAATCAAAACACCTAATCCCAATAAATTTGTTTTACACAATAGCCCATAAGATAATGAAAGAATATGGTGATTCACCTTCCCCATTCTTCCAAGAGTCATAAAGAGCAGCAAATACAAGTGGCCGACCATCCTTCAAATGTATATAGAAAGGTTGCTTTTTCGACCCATCTTTTTTCCATTCATAAAACCTGAGCATAATAGCCATATGCTGTAAGTAAACATTCACTCATAGCAGAGCACAATGGAGATGGAAAATATTTTATATTAATGACATACTAATTCTACCATTCATTCATAACACCATCTTTGATGTTTCTCAACAACCCTTTGTTAAATCAACCAATTCACCCGAAACAGATACAGAAAACAGAATGCACTTACCCCTCCACTGCAACAAGGCACCTGTTTTTAGGAAGGAGACGGCGAAAAGAAGCCTTCTCTTTTATAGATTCAGATCGAGCATTGAACTACATTCATTAGCGTGTTATTAACCATTCCGATCATAGATGTCATGTAATACATAAGGTATTCAATAGCAATTTGTCAAAAGAAAAAGGCAGCAATTCCTGAAAACTAGAATACCCATGACAATAATGGCCGTTACCATTTTGTAGTGGTCTGGCTTTTCGTTCTGCTTAGTAAAACTGGGAATTAGCCCCCATTTCATGCAGTGGACAACAGCACCGTCTTCATTGGGACTTTCTTCTCTCCGAACAACCGGAACATTGAAGCCTGGCGACACATTATACGACGGCCGATACCTAAAATTTTATCGTAAATCAAACCGTGAATCATCTTTCCGTCTACAAATAACTTACACAACTCAGAAGTCTTACAGAAGTACTTCACTTACTCGAGTAAAGAGAATCAACTACTAAAATACCCAGTATATGTATAGAAGACTTTAGTTGGTTGATACTTACCGGTCCAAGTTGACTTGACGGACGCGGCGGCCGGAGACGTGGCATGCAAGAGGGAAATCATCCACTCGAAGAGTACAGCGAGTTCGACCGCACATAGCTTCTGTGTATCTCCTCCAACTCCGGGCGCCGGCGACTTCAACGTGCTTTCTCAATTGTCGTCTGCGGTTGTGCAATGGGGGACAAAAGCAAGGCGGGAACGATTCGAAAACGGCGCCGTTTTGTTTATTGGGATTGTGTATCGAGAAACAATTGTAGTTAAGTCCCTGTAGTTTCCGAGGCATTCAATTTCAACTCCCTCTTAAGTCGGAAAGGAGTAATGCCCTATTGCCGGAGAATAAACCTCTGCAGTAAACCCCGGGAAAAGTACGGGCTTCTTCTTCTTCTTCTTCTTCATGTTGTCTATCGCCAGAAGAGCTCGGAGCTCTTATCCTTCCCTGAAGTCCCTCAATCTACAACTGCGGTCCGCTAAGACCGATGCCGGCTCACCGCCATCCCGACGGAGGCGTTCCAAGCTATCGCCATCGACGTTGCTCAGGAAGGTGGACGAGAAATCCGAGTGGTGGGTGGTTGACGGAGAAATGCACGAGATCGGCGAAAACGTTCCTCCGAGAGAACGGTTTGTAATCCCTAGAGAGAACATCCCCAATAAGCGCCGTAAACAGCTCCGGGAACAGTTCATGCGCCGCACTCGCCTTGTCCTCAAAGAATCCGTTCGTTCTCTCCCTTTTCCTTGTAATTGAATTCCTATATGCTCTGTTTATTGAAAATGTATCTGTTTATTTGCATATGATTTTTGCACTGGTTCTGATTTTCTAATTTGTGTTTACGACCTATCACGAATTCATTAACTTTAGTATTCAATTAGCCAATTCTCTAGTAATGTTATATTTTATTACACTTACGCAATAATTACTAATACTAGAAGCTGGGTTGTGTTCAGATTTTGCATGACCTATTGAACCCAACTCGTAATTTGCCTCTACCTGCTATTCTGTTAAAGATTATTCTGGTAATAAGCAGGTTTCCAATAGTTTGTGCTTAATTGATTTCCAACCTTGATTAACAGGAGCATGAACCATGGTCAAAAAGGTATATGGAGCTATATAATGAGCTGAGAGAAAATTGGGAGAGGTTGTACTGGGACGAAGGTTATTCTAAGAAACTTGGTCAAGACCATGCAAACTATGATTCTGCTGAAGATGATGATGAGGACTTTTCCCCTTATAGGTTGGTCCACTTTTACTCCATTTTTGCCTCCTTTCTCATTGGTGATTATTTGGCCTTCTAACCCTGTGTTTTGTGTTCCATAATGTGAATTGGTTTTATAATGTTGTGAGATGTTGTGGAAGTCAATAATGTGTGTATTTATTTGCAGGAGAAGCAAATCTTATACAGAACAAATAAAGGTGAAAACTCTGACCATTGTATTACGGTTATAGAGTATGCTTAGAGCTCTGAACTGTGCATCATTAATCTTCATATAGATTAGTTTGAACTTTTCCTACTCTAAACCTTTTACAGAATGTGTAGTACTCCGTATAATTTATTTTTCATTTCTATATAACATGCAAGCTTCCGTTAGCTCTCATCTACAGACTCTCCCATCTGAAGTGCAGTATAACTTGGTCTGACCCAACTTATCGTTTTCTATTGCAGGGTCATGGTTTTGTTAGGGATAGGCAAGATGATAACTCCGATAGGGTTAGGTTAATCCGTGACAAGTTTGAGTATGACAGAGAAAGAAGAACGAGAGAAAGAGGTGAGATTGTGTAGTTCTTATATCTCGGTTGTATTTTGCATTTCTTTTAAGTTTTTTTATTTATGTTTATATTTCCTTTTTCCAGTTGCTCTTGTCCTTTGTTTTTAACCACTTTTAAGTTAGATGGTCCTTAGATTATATAATGGTAGTTATTAAAATTGAAAATGCTCAGCTAAGATTGAAATTGCACACATAGTTAGATTATACTACGTATATTTATATGAATAGTTGATTGCCATCATAATTCATTAATTAATTCTTTTTAAAGGTTTGCTCGAATGTGGTTAAAAAAAATAATTTTGTGTGGGTGCAATTAGAAATTAATTTGTACAGCCATACAGGCCTACAAGGTCAAAGTTGTATGAAAAGAGCTGAAAGATAAAATGGAGTTAAAACCATAAATTGCAAATTACCGAGTTCCAGCTAAACCACAGCTGAAACTTAATGCAAAAGATTGTTAAAAGCAGAATATTTTCAGACATGATTAAAATTATAAACGAAACTCTAGGTTCCCAACTTCCCAAAGAAGCTCTAAAGCTGGAAGTGATTTGTCGGGTTACTCTGGTCACTCTTTATAAGTTACTCCACACTAGATACCCCATTTCAAATCTTTTTTCGCTGATTATATCTTTATCTTCAACAAATTCACAGCATTCGCTCCAGTGAATGAGGCCAACAATATTCATATGGATTATACAGCTTCAAAGAATGAGCCGTTTGACGCTAGGAGATACATATCAGATAGCGAGAGTGACTGATCAAGGTATATTGAGGGGATTCTGGAAATTGGGAATAGTTTTACATGACTTTTGTATCACATGATATATGAGTACTTACCATTGTAACCTGATATTCTCTGATTCAATGTACATTATATATGTTAGCACTAGGGGAAGTTTTCAGATTTATTACAAGTTTCCATCTCTCAAACCTTGAGCATATTGAAGCATGCTTGTGGTTCATTAAAAAAACCAATCACCATGATGATTTTAAATACTAATCTTGTACGCAGAAGTGCGGAACGCTGGTAGAGAAGTTAAATCCATGAAGATTACTCCATTGGCACTAAATAGGACTGGGCTTTAAGAATGTGTAAATTTGCTTACTTAATTGTTGCAGCTTCACATGAAAGAATGTAATGATAAGAATATAAATCGCTAACTTTTTTATATCCTGAAGTCCCGAACTACTAGACCAAGAGAAGATTTGTATCACTCAGTCTGAACTCTGAACACTGAATTAATTGTAAAGCATCGGATTCAGCTTCAACGCAATCCCAACTAGCTTCCTTTATCCAATTAAGTGTCTCCCTCATTGCCAAAGCCTCAGCTTCAGAAGGAATGTATTCACCTCGCTTTTGATTCAGCTTCAACGCAATCCCAACTAGCTTCCAAAAAAGTACTATCGTAATCAATTGCCACTCACCCCAAACCGGTGACTCCCGATCCACATTTAATTGTTGTGTTAATGTTAAGCTTCAATCTGTCAGCATTTGGTTTGTTCCATAACTTCAAGCTCTGCTGTCCTTGATCCTTGACTCCAGGCTGCTGTTGCGTCTTTCGGCACCCATCAAGGAAAGAACTGGCTTCAATTTTGAACTTGTGGCTGAACCAGGTTTATTATTCAAGAGTTCTTCATTCCTATACCTGATACCTCCATAAACACATAATAAATCTGAAGCAAAAATCATTATTGTTATTATCAAAATCCTCATTCACCCCGTCCGTAAAAGACACCTCCCCCTTGTCAACAAAATTACAGCCCATCAAGCTCCAAAGTTGCTGCGATACTACACACAGTTGGAAGGAAGATATGCAGCGGACTTTCTTTCTCCTGACCACACACTACACAGACAGAGAACAGTTCACTCTCCTCCGAATCGGATTATCTACTATGGGCAAACTCCCGGAGCAAAGCTGCCAAAAAAATACCTTAACTTTCTGGGGTATATGTGAATCCCACACTCAAGTCCACAGGTTCTTTTGCTCTTCGTCATTGTACATGGATAGAAACGGGTACCCATTGTTCACAGTATATTGCCCTTTTCCTTCCAGCGACCATATTAATCGTTCTGCCACTTTTTTTAGCTCACGGGTGTACCTAAAATCAGCTCCTTGTCCCTGCCACCAAAGAGATCGGTTAATAAATATCATCACAAATTCTCAATCAGCCCCTCCCTCTTCGATTAAGCTAACCACCAGGATTCTTCCAAGCACTAAACTACATCAGATGTCACTCTTAGATTCTCCAGGCTAGGCAACCAAGGGTCCTTCCAATTCTTGATAGATTTCCAGCCTGTAACCCGCCACCGCCCACCGGTACCCTTCTTTAAGTAAGCATTGCTAAGTTAAAGTTTTCCAGACTTCTGAACCTCATTCCTCCTTTTGGCATCGACTTGCACATTCTCGTCCACTCTTTTTGGCGGATACCCCTTCTAAATGACCCGGTCCACCAGAAAGCATTCATAATGCGTTCAATTTCCCCGCACAAAAATAAAACCAAGACAGTGATATAGGTCCTGATCCTAGTCCCCTATATTATTTCCTCATAATCGGCCGGTCTGGCGACCGTAACCGGGCCAGTTAAACCCTACTTATCATCGTAAAATACAATTTTTTTAATATAATTTTCAGTGCGATGAGTTTTATCAGATTTTTTTTGAAACAGTTATATCAGATTATTATTTCACTGTCATGCTGAGTAAGATCCATACAAAAAAATATGAGTGGTTTAAAACCTTTTTCCATGTTTTAACAAACAACTGTGAATCTGTGATCAACGACCATTAGTTTTTAGTTTTCAAAAGTGGAAATGGCCATTCGTTTTTATATCTCAAGGATGAAAATGACCATTAGTTTTTAGTAAACATTATATCGAATCAATAAAGTCACATTATAGAACAAGAGTAAACACTTTCTGCACTTGACTAGTAGTTTTGTTTTCCATGTAAAAATACATGTAACGTGATTCCATCGCACATTTTTCTTTTGGAAACAAAACGTGCTAAAAATTTAAATGGGTAACTTTGGATACCTTGTTTAAAAAAAAATATATGGACCGACCACACTTTAATTAAATACTACGTAGTACTCCGTTGTAACAAGCAATACTCTTCCTACGAGGCTACGACTATTGATTGTGCCCTACTAATTTACCTGAATTAGTGAATTGAAGTATTGAACTTGAATTACACAATTCAACTCTTACACCCTCACGGGCCTCACGTATACTTGCGCCCATAACGAGGTTAATTAAGTTGGAATCTTCAGAATACATCTATTAGCAAACAGTCAAACAATATAACATTATAAAAGATGTAACCCGAGGCTTGATGGCACTTGTTGCTTTACTCATCGGATAGTAAGGCTGGGCAAATTTAAAACGGTTTTGTTCAACTGAACTAAATCAATCCTAAAATTGGTACGTTGGTTTCATTAGAGTTCACTGAAGCCGACGGTAATAATTGATACTTTGGTTTTGTTTAAAAATATTTCATTTATATGTTTCCATAATTGGTAGATTCAGCTCATTCAGTCGCTTTAAACATAACTTAATCAATTTCAACAAATTCAGATGATTTAGTCAATTTCAGTTTTATCAAACACGTTATAAATGTACGTGCACCATTTAGGTTGGTAGCAAACCATAGGATACAATAGTTATGTTTTAACTTTTCACCCCAAGGAAACTCCAACCCACAAAAGAAAGTAGAGGGTGGTGTCAAAATGGAATGTAGCCCCCCGGGAATTTGGCACCCATTCGCCACTAGGAGAGGGAAGATAATGGATTGAAGAACACATATGTTAATCATCTAGTTAAAATTGAATTGATTGAGTGAATATATGTAAAATGGCTCACTAAATTGTAGGTCCTTCTTTGTTACTAGTATAAAGTAACAGTCAATCTATGCAATTATTGACACGATTTTCAGTATGGATCATATAGAAACAGTCTCTCTATACTTTAGTGCATGGGTAAAATTGCGTACATCCGACCTCCTCCCCTTACCCCATCGTAGTTGGGAACTTTTGTGACAATGGGCAATGATGTTGTTGTTGTATATATTTCGATTCTTGCCTAAAACATTTGCTCAGAAATCTAGTGGCTAGCATGTACGCCATAGTTCATCCGTGTGCACGTCCGAGTAGTCTTTTGTGGATGAGTTAAATCCCTGGAATCAAGACCTGTTCATGGGAGCAAAGTCCGGGGATGAGTTGTTTAGCCGACCCTTCCTAAATGATTTTCGTACAAGAGGATGGAAATACTTTTGATTTGATACACTATTAGGGCAGTTTAATACTCCTTTCGTCTCATTTTGGACTTCTTACTTTAATTTTTGGATTGTTTCAAAATGAATTTCTTGTAATCCATATCATTTTATTTTATTTTACTCAATTTTTAACCACAATTTTTATTATTCAACCACTTTATTAATAATCGTGTCAAATTAAAACAAGACATCTAATATGGGCCGGAGGTAGTACATTTTAGAAGCTGTATTCTAAATGACCATTTGATGCCCCATAAAAGATAACAAAAAACAGTACTCCGTATTACATAATAATATAAATTTAACGAAATAGAAATGTATTAGATAGTTTAGTGAAATATAAATTTTATAATATTTAAAGCACACAAATTAGACAACTTTAAAAAAAACTCATAATTATATAGTCGGTGAGTTTTCAGTTTTTCACTTTATATGGTTTTCCTTCTAGCAGTATTCGAAGCAAAATCATTAATCAAATCTTTTTAAAAAAATCTATATTGCCCATTTGTAAAAACTACATAATAAAAAGTTACATTGTACATCTTCTGGAGTAATACATGACAATTACAAAAATAAAACTTATAACTATGACTACATATTAATTTTTTGGAAACCCACATAAAAGTTAAGGGGTATCATAACTTATTAAAAGTGGTACTCTTTTTTTTTTATCATATAAGAGCGGCTTTTATATTAAAAACGGGAACCATACAAGACAACCTTCAGACAGGTTTTACAGCTTCAATCGTGAACCCTAGGAGTAGACTTAGAGTCAGCCACCTCGCTAAACTTGAAACAGACAAATTTAAGCCTAAAACGACTGCAACCGAAACCCTACCTATCAAAAGAATTTCAACTGGAAATAAAAACACAACCAAAACAGCATGTAATTCAAAATAAAAACACAAACAAAATAAAATGAAATTAAAACAAAGTTCACTCGTTTTCTTTTGAACTCTATATTATCCAGCACTTCATGGCGGCGGTTCAAGAGGGTGAAGAGCCAGTAGTACTGTACCTTCTTCATCACCCTACCTATTATTCATCATGTTCTAAGCCAAGCTTCTACTTTCGCCACAAACTACAAGTGACCTTGAGTCCAGATATGTTCTAGTCTTTAACCCCCAATCTTCGTTCATGACCTTCACTGGATGAGGTCATCATCTCACTATTACTGTCTGATTTTTGTTCATACCAAGAAACTCGTCGCAAGGGTAAATCCCAAATCGAAGAGCCGTCCAATCAAAAAGATGGACAGAGACACTAAAACCCTAACAAGAGGGAAATCGACGGCTGAAAACTAGCTTAGTAGTGCGGATGTTGCGCTAAGCATGTAGCCGCGGAAGAGATACTCGGTATAATAACAACAATTTATATCACAGAAATTAATACTTGCAACTTTTACTTCCTAAAGACTATGATTACGTACGTTTCTAAAATTAATTTCTAGAAGCTATAAACTTAGTACATACTCCGTACATCATACCTCGTATTAATAAACTCATTTAGTATAACAGTATAAGTTACTCGTATTTACCGACCAATATTATCAATTACTTAACTGGAACATTGTCTCAAAACAACCCTGTAGATGGCTAGATGCAATGTAATATTACTCAACTTTCCTCCAATTTCTTTTTTGCGATTCGAATATTTTTTTAGCTTTGCATAACATATAAGATCAGTGCATCGTGAATGAGAGTGCAAGGCAATAATGTCATTAGCCAGATTTAGGACAGGGGAGCTAGTAAAGTTACCTAAAGCCAATTCAATTCGTTTGGCAAGGAAAGAAATGCTATATGTAAGGACCGTTTACTTCCGTCTCCGGCTCAGGTCTCTCAACACACACTCTCACACACCACACTAGAAGGAAGCTACAACACAACTCTATTTTTATTCTCCACTTAGGACCTCTCTCAGCTCTCACACAAAGGAAAGAAGGAGAAGGGAGCATTGCTCTCAATAGAATACTCACGCAGGCTGCTT